AACCAATAGCTCAGAGTACTTGTGATTTGTTGGTAGTACCCAGGGGTGCTGTTCTCTGAAACTAAAATCAGAGTGCTGTAGTCTTCCCCCAACACTTAGTAGACCATTTTCATCTAAGAATGGTTTCAAGTCTTTGATTTTAGAGTCTCTTTTCACATTTAGTTTTGACTTTAGCTGGGATATTTCAGAGCTAAAACAACGCTCTTGCGTAGCCTTTACCCAGTACATTTCAGCTGCAATCAGCTCTTCTGAGGTTAACTCTCCCTGAACCTTTTGACAAGACCTTGTGTTAGTTACAAAGCGTTTTACCCATGCAGTGATTCTTAACACAGTCTTAAGCCTGCTGTACTTTTCTAAGTTCAACAGAGGTACCGTTTGTTCAGTGCTAGTGAATTGTACAACAGTCTGATACTTAGATTTCAGTTCAGTGTTTACCTCATTCACCACATTGTCATCATCAATGTCCAGCTCCCTTTCAGCTGTGGACAGTGAAGCTGGTCCGCTCCACCACAACTGGCTCTCAATAAGACTCTGTGCATGCTGACCTCGTGTAGGTAAGTCAGCAGGATTCATTTTACCAGCACAGTGGGACCACGTCTCCGGGTTTGTGAGCCCTTGTATTTCAGTCACTCTGTTGGCCACAAAAGGCTTCCACCGCTGGGCTGAGCTGCGGATCCAGTGAAGAGTGATCATCGAGTCCGTCCACATTTGAAGTTGGCTCTTCTCCATGTTCAGTGGTTTGAGAAGACTGTGTCCTAATCTTGCTCCAATAAGTGCACCCATAAGCTCCAGGCGAGGTAATGTCATTTTCTTTAGGGGTGCGACTCGCAACTTAGAGGCCACAAAGCTTGTAACAGTCTCTCCTTGTTTGTTTTTTCCTTGTAGATATGCCACAGCACTGTAAGCCTTTTCACTTGCGTCACAGTAGACATGCAACTTTACCGTGTGTGACTCTTGCTGGATCTCAATGTGGTACCACCTGGGAATAGCCACCAGGTGGAGCAGTGGTAGCTCCATACACCACTGTTCCCATTTTTCAGTCAAATGAATGGGTAATGGTTCATCCCAACTGAGCCCTCTCTCCCACATTTCTTGGAATAGACACTTCACTCTGATAGTAAAGGGAGTGAGAAACCCAATGGGGTCAAATATGCGAGCCGATGTTTGTAGAACACTTCTCTTTGTGTTTTCTTTGTCCCGTAAAATGTCAATGAGTCCCTTTTGATCAAACACAAAATCATCTCTCTCTGGTCTCCAAACGAGTCCTAGCACTTAAAGCACATTTCCACAGGACTCTGTATCTCCAGTCAACTCTACTCCAGTCTCTTTCCACATGGCTCTTAGGTCAGGTGAGTTGGTAACCCATTTGCAGAGGTCCATGCCTGCCTGAGAGAGAATGTCTTTTGCTGTTGTTGTCACATGTAGAGCTTCCTGCACAGTAGGTGAGCTTGAAATAAAGTCATCTACATACAGAGAGTCACTGAGGATCTGTACTGCCTTTGGTTGTTCTGTGTCAAATAGTTTGAGGTGTTTTCTGATGGTGGCAGCAAGCAGGAATGGGCTGGGAGACACTCCGAAAACCACTCTGTTCATTCTCAGGACACATACCTCATTCTTGCAGTCTTTGGTCGGTGGTCCATGCATCCACAGGAACCTAACAGCATCTTTATCCTTTTCTGCGAGGGAAATCTGAAGAAAAGCCTTGGTTATATCAGCAGTGAAGGCAATCTCATGCAACCTGAATGTGATGAGTACTTCTAGCAGGTTTGGGTTTAGATTAGGCCCTGTGTGCAAACAGTCATTGAGGGATGGGCTGTCTGCATCATGTGAGGACGCATCAAATACCACTCTCAGTTTAGTTGTGGCCTTGTCCTCTCTTACAACAGCGTGATGTGGCATGTAATATCTTACAGTCTCTTGGTTCCCTGCCACTGTTTTGTCCTCTAAAACCTCCTCACAGATCCCTTGCTGCAGGTAGTCCTGTATTACGTTGTTGTACCTGGCATACAAGGCTGCATCAGTTTTTAGTTTTCTCATAAGGCTCTCAAAACGTCTCTTTGCTACCTTAAAGTTGTCTGGGAGCTGGTCTTTGTCAGATCGCCATGGTAACTCAACTTGGTAGCGTCCATTTTCTAATGTAGTAGTCTGTTCAAAGCTTTGCAAAATGTCTGAGTCCTCTGGGCTCTCCGCCTGTTTGTTTACAATGCCCAGGGACTCGACCTCCCAGAATGCATGTAACTGTTTGGAAATCTGGGTCTCTTCAGTCAAACTTATGTGCATGCAAGTGGTTTCTGTAACGCTGGAGGTAGTCACTGGCCCCTGTAAAGCCCATCCAAAAATACTCTCAACTGCCACTAGTGAATTTGTGACCTTTTGGACCTTTCCAGTGACTGCTTGCCAGTAGTAGTCTGCTCCTATTAACACCTGTAACTCTTGATCGTTAGCACCCTCTAGTGGAAAGTCTGCAAGTTGAAGCCCTCTTTTCTTTATCTCTGCTTGAATGGGCTCGCTTGGGACTTTTATCACAGCACTGCACACCTGAGGAGTCTCTACAGCTTCAATCTCAAGTCTCTGTTCAGTGTTCCACATATTCTCGAGCTCAACTCTCACAACATTGCGTTTCTCTGTTACAGGAGAGGTGGAACCAAAAACATGGAGATTTAGTGTCTCTTGCCTTACAACTGGGAGTCCTAAGGCTCTGACGACGTTTCTGTGAATGAAACTTCGCTGGCTGCCTCCATCTAATAGACAGCGTGTTATCTTCCTCTCTTTTGGTCCTACAGTCCATGTCTTAACTGTCTGAAGTAGTACTGTGTTCTGAGTATTGGTCTTCACCTTTACAGGGCTCGTCAATGACGACAACACAGCTTCTGTATTTTCACTACTATTGGTGTAGTGTTAATATCTAGCTTGGCTTCAGACTGCTCACAAACTGACAAGTGGTGTTTCCGGTTGCATAAGCTGCACAAAACCTTTACTCTGCAGTATTTTGCAATGTGTTTTGGGCCTAAGCAGACATAACACCGTCCAAGTTTTCTCAGTTTATCCTTGCGTGCACTTACTGTATGGTCGGAACAGTTCTCTGGTTTGTGGTCGCTACTGTCACAATACACACAGGTCCGGGGCACGGCACTGGCGGTGTGCAAGGCGGTCGCTGACGGGACACTCCACTTTCTGGGTTTATCGCAGGCGTAGGATGGCTTACCCACATTCTTGTGTTGTGGGCTCGGATCCTTCGATGCATGGCCTGGTCTGGTAAGCTGAAGCGCTCGTTCTCTTCTTTGCACCTCATTTTGTAGAAACTGAATCAACTCTGGCACCTTCCATTCGTTGGTCGCGTTTGGTTGGCGGGTGTAGGCGAGTGCGATGTCCTCCGGAATGAGCTGCAGTAGCACTGGACAAAGCAGGCAGCCGTACGTGTCACTCTGGACTCCAAGTGACTCCAAACTGCGTATCTGGATCTCACATTCATCATACAAGTGCCTCAAAGCTGTAACATCAGAAGATCTTTTAACAGGGGTTAAGTTCAGTAGTTTGGACATATGGGCACTTATCACAATGTCCTTTCTCCCAAAGCGGCTCTGGAGTAACTCTATTGCAGCATCGTAGTTGGCATCTGTCATTGTAAGCCCTGCAATAGTTCTAGCAGCTGCTCCAGTCAGGTAGGATCTGAGGTAAGTAAACTTGTCTGTCTTGCATAGTACCTCATTTCTGTGAATAGCTGTTTCATATTGTGACCAGAATTCCTGCCACTGGCTTATTTCACCATCGTACTTTGTTATCATTAGCTTAGGAAGTTTAACAGTTTGTCTGGACTGTGATGTAAATGAACCACTGCTCCCATCGCTCACGCGCACTCTCGGGGTGTCTCTGATGGTTTCCTGATGCCCGATGGTGGTGGTGGCACGAACCTTCCAAGTGAGAACGCGGTCCATGTAATCCAGTGTGCTTGAAATCTCCGTGTCCAGATCGTCCGTGGGAGTCACATCTTCTATGCCCTTGTCCAAGTCCAATAAACTGTCCTCCTTCGATGATAAAACTGCCAGAAACTCGCGTAGTTTGTCAATATTTGGTCTTTCCTTCCCCACCTCGTCCTCTAGGCGGGTTAACAGCCTCGTCGTAGCGGCGCGAATAGTTGCCCGCTTCCTTTTCAGCCGCTCGAGTCCCTCCGTCATGACGGCTGCTAAACCGAGCCTTTAGCTGTTCACTTCGTTCGAAAAAGTTCTTAAAGTCCTTACATCCCGGGTTTCGGCACCAAATGATACGTAGATACAGCTTCTATAATCATGACGGAGGCTCGGTAGTTTTACTGAACTTTCTTGTTCAGGTTTATTGAACAAAACACAGCGGCAAGCGACAACTTTTGCTGATTCACATTTTAGTTAAGATGGTTTCATAAAACTAGAACAGATCCTGTTTTCACCCTTCACAATAAAACACTTCCGTTTCTTCAAATTAAAACCATATGGCACTTTTTTACCGTACCTTGTAATTTGGAAATACGATTATAATTATGTTACAACTAATAATCAATGTTTAATGTCTAGAACTAAATAAGTCACAACAGCCGCCAACAGTCATTTTTGAGACCTTAGGAACCACCAGACGTCTGGCGTTTTGTGAGCGCAACGCTCGACTTGGTTGATACGACACTAACGTGTCTTGGAGATAAGAAGGAGCCAAGCCATTTATGGCTTTATGTGTTAAGAGAAGGATTTTAAACTTTATTCTGTACTCCACAGGGAGCCAGTGGAGTGATTTTAACACCGGAGTTATGTGCTCCCTCCTTTTGGTACCTGTTAAGATCCTAGCTGCTGTATTCTGAACGAGCTGGAAGCTCCTCAAAGAGGCTTTAGGGCACGCTGCCAATAAAGCGTTACAGTAGTCGAGCCTTGAGGTGACAAACGCGTGAATACGTTTTTCCGCGTCACTTTTAGGAAGGAAATTCCTAATTTTAGCGATGTTCCGTAAGTGGAAGTACGCCGTTTTAGTTGCTTGGCTTATATAAGCCTTGAAGGAGAGTTCTTGGTCAAAAATGACTCCATGATGATGATGATGAAGATGGTGATGATGGTGATGATGGTGATGATGATGGTGATGATGGTGATGATGATGATGATATTGATGATGATGGTGATGATGATGAAGATGGTGATGGTGATGATGATGATGAAGATGGTGATGATGGTGATGATGATGAAGGTGATGATGATGATGGTGAAGATGGTGATGATGATGAAGATGGTGATGATGATAATGATGGTGATGATCATGATGGTGATGATGATGAAGATGGTGATGATGATGAAGATGGTGATGATGGTGATGATGATGATGAAGATGGTGATGATGAAGATGGTGATGATGATGAAGATGGTGATGAATATGATTAAGATGGTGATGATGGTGATGAAGATGGTGATGATGATATTGATGATGAAGATGGTGATGATGATATTGATGATGGTGATGATGAAGATGGTGATGATGGTGATTAAGATGGTGATGATGATATTGATGATGATGATATTGATGATGGTGATGATGATGATAATGATATTGATGATGGTGATGATGATGATGGTGATGATGATAGGGCTAGGGTGAACCCTAACCCTAATCAACCCAGAGCTGTAACACAATCAACCCAGAGCTGTTACACAATCAACCTAGAGCTGTAACACAATCAACCCAGAGCTGTAACACAATCAAAGTGGGATTGTATTGTGTGACAGAACCACGCCCCAGACACCACCTGCAGCTCTGAACCGTCTGCCCTGAATGCGGAAATGACTGGACTTTAAATAGACCAGAGTAAACAAAGACATATCTACTCTAGATATTAAACAGATGAAGTCCATCCATCTATTTTCTTCCGCTTCATCCGTTGCCGGGTCGCAGGGGCAGCAGAGACGCCCAGACTTCCACTTCCTCCAGCTCATCTGGGGGGACCCCAAGGCGTTCCCAGGCCAGCTGAGAGACATAGTCCCTCCAGCGAGTCCTGGGTCTTCCCCAGGTTCTCCTCCCGGTGGGACGTGCCCGGAACACCTCCCCAGGGAGGCGTCCAGGAGGCATCCGGAACAGATGCCCGAGCCACCTCAACTGGTTCCTCTCGACGTGAAGGAGCAGCGGCTCTACTCCGAGCTCCTCCCGTGTGACTGAGCTCCTCACCCTATCTCTAAGGGAGCAGCCACTCTGCGGAGGAAGCTCATTTCGACCGCTTGTATCCGCGATCTCGTTCTTTCTGTCATTACCCAAAGCTCATGACCATAGGTAAGTAAGCAAGTAAGTAAATTTTATTTATAGAGCACCTTTCACTGATAAAAATCAAGAAATTAACCAAAAGCTGCCCTGAAAAGAAGTGTCTTTAGTCCCTTTTTAAAAGCATCGGCAGAGTTGAAGGAGGGAACGAGTGAAGGAGGGAACGAAGATTGACCGGTAAATTGAGAGCTTTGCCTTTCGGGTCAGCTCCCTCTTCACCACGACGGTCTGACAGAGCTCTGACTACAGACGCTGCTCCCTCTTCACCATGACGGTCCGATACAGCGACCGCATCACTGCGCACCCTGCACCGATCCGCCTGTCAATCTCACGCTCCATCCTTCCCTCACTCGTGACCCCGAGATACTTGAACTCCTCCACTTGAGGAAGGACCTCTCCACCTGGAGAGGACCAGGACCTGGAGAGGCCAAGGCACCTTTTTCCGGTCGAGAACCATGGCCTCAGATTTGGAGGTGCTGATTCTCATCCCACAAATGAAGTCAGTATTGATATTTGTGACTCAAGGCTTCTCTTTCCCCTTCTTTACGGTGACACATCTCTGACAGTTTGCAGCTTTAGCATGTATTCTGGCCTCTGTCACATCTTTTAGATCAGCTTTGTTCAGTGAAAGAGAGAGTCCCAGCTCGTGTAACATACTGTTTAGGATTTTACATCAGGCAGTTAAGTGGCCACCCTTGGTTATGCTGTTATGATTTGAATGTGAGAAATAAAGCGAGAGCCGGTACGGCTGCAGTTGGAAAAGCGTCTCTCGTGTGTGCTCTCAGAGCTAAATACATTTTACAACACTATCTAGACCTTCTCGGTTACATTGGTGGCAGCGGTGGTTCTTTTATTTTTTATTTTTTTTGCCCATCCAGAAATGTTTTTCTGTTGCTGAATCAGCGTTTATTTTGCAGTTAACAAGTTAGCTAGTTGTGTGAAGTTTAGCTAGGCAGTTGTGTGCTTAGCGTGAGTTACCTGTCAACATGTGGAATGGAGAAGTATGAGGCCGAGGAGCGTTTTCCCGTGAGGAACGTGAGAGTGGATCTGCCTCCGCTCTTTGCTGGAGATGGTAGCCAAAGTTTTCTCGGCTGGGTGAGACAGCTGGAGGTGGCCATCCAGGCTACTGTGGGCACCGGTTCGGACTGTGATGAAGAACTTGTTCGTATCTTGCCCACTCGTTTATGCAAGTCAGCGTTTCTCCTGTGGGACAGCCTTCCGGATAGAGTGAAGCATGATTATTCTGCCGTGAAAGAGAAGCTCGCTGGCGCATTTGGACAGAGACAGTTTATGGACCGCTTCAGAGCCACCCTCTCGGCTCGTCCCCGTGCTGCGGGCGAGAGCTTGGAAGTCTATGCAGCGGATGTGAGTCGCCTGGTGGCGGAGGCTTTCCCGGACTATGGGGTCGTGGCGCGCAGAGAGGAGAAGTTTCGGCGCTTCCTCGCAGGTCTGGATCCAGCGTTGAAGAGCAAGTGTTTGGAGCAAGGCGCCACTGATTTAGAAGAGGCGCTGACTATCGCGGAAAGATGCGAAAACGCTAGAGAGGCGCTACAGAGGGACTGTGTGAGTAACTATCCGTTCAATCCCCATGTTGCTGAGTCCAGAGCTGTGGTTCAGGCTGTTACGTCCAATGACAGTTTATATAAGGCTGTGGATCAATTAAGCCAAGAGATGCATGCTATGAGGATGGAAATGAAGAGTGTTTATGAAGAAAACCAGAGACTCAGGAACAGTGATATGGGCCAGAGGCAGTTCGTGGGGCGCCGGTCTGGTTTTGGGGGACGTTGTGAGTGCACCTGCGGTGAGCCTGGCTGTCAAGGAAGGTGGGCAATGCAGAGACGTCAGGGTCGCTCGCCCGAGCGCGGAGCTGTTTCCCCCCCTGGTAATCTCGCTGCGCGCACCCCACAACGTACAGGCCAGTCTCCCGAGTTCCGTCCACCACGAAGCAGGAGTCCCAGCCCCGGATGGCGTGCCCGTCGTGAGGAAGGATCCTGGAGGCGTGGTGTTCATTTCCAGCAGCAGAGTTCTCCCAAGGATCCCGAGCATCAGGGAAACTTCCAGTAGCTGGTGTTATGGCCCAAACACCGGCTTTTCCTCGGGAGGGCCCAATGTTCACAGATGATGTAGATGTGGGGTTGGAAAAATACCCTACTGCAGGGGTGGCCAACCAGTCAGAGACAAAGAGCCACATTTTTAACTGTGATTCTGCAATGAGCCACATCATACACATGGGCACACACAATCACAACCCCATCCCTTACACGCGCACGCACGCACACGCACACACACACACACACACACACACACACACACACACACACACACACACACACACACAGAGATCTCTGCTAAGCCAGATTTATTGTAAATGTCACACACAAACATAATGACAGATATTGACTCCTTCAAGAATACAGGCCAGTCATTTTCAACAATGAACATTGTGTGCACTGTCACACACACACACAAACTCTCAGTTTAACCAAGTCCAAAACAAAGATGTAATTTACAATAGTGTTTTTTTCTCTTACTTTGTATGTTGCTTAGTGGGACTTCTGGCACTCCTTGTCTTGAACAATCCTCTTCAAATCTGGCTTATACTCCGTTGTTGCCACTCGAAGCAATTCTTTCACATGGGTGTCAGTCAGAACAGATCGATGCTTTGATTTCACATGTTTCAGGGTAGAAAACAAAGACTCGCAGACGTATGTTGACCCAAACATTGACAGTACCTTCAGTGCAGCCTGTTTGACATTGGGGTATTTTTCCATTGGCACACTTTTCCAGAACTCAATGGTCCCTTCCCTTAAAGCAGCTTTCAGTTGGTCCTCCTCACAAAGATCAATCATTTCCAACTCAGCCGCAGCCTCATCTGTGACTAGCGGGGCTTTCAAACAGTCCGTCTCCGCATTAAATGGGTCGACGAGGAACGTAATCTGTGGCCTTTTCATTTGTAGATCACGGAACCGGGACACAAAGCTTTCGTGCAGGTTTTCAACCAGTGCTGCATATCTGGCTCTTTGCTTATTCAGGGCGGCGCTGGTGACTTGTCCGCTGGCTTTTAACAGCGTGGGAAAATGTGTTAAATCTCCCTTTTGAATATGAGCCTTGAACAGCTTCAGTTTGTTGACAAACGCAAACACACTTTGCACCAGGTCAGGTAGCATTTTTAACTTACCCTGCAGGCTTAGGTTCAGTCTGTCCAAGTGACACAGCATGTCGACCAAAAAGGCCAGATCCATAATCCATTCGAGGTCCGAGAGTTCGGGATAGTCCTTGTTCTTCTCTTCCATGAACATTTTCACGGCATCCAAAAGCTCAAAAAAGCGAGAGAGTACTTTGCCTTTTGACAGCCACCTCACAGTGCAGTGCAGCGGCAGGTCACCGGGAAGCCCTTGGTCCAGCTCAGCGATGAGATTCCTGAATTGCCTGTGATTAAGCGCATGCGTGCGGATGTAGTTGACCATTTCCATCACTGGCTTCATGACGTTGTCTAAATTCAGTGATTTAGACACGAGTTGCTCCCTGTGGATGATGCAGTGGAAATTCCAAAATGTGGGAAATGTTTGGTCAGCTTTGCACAGGCCCACAAGCCCGTTCACAGATCCGATCATGGCTGGCGCTCCATCCGTAGCTATTGCAGTTAGTTTTGGTATGGGCAGATGTGCTTTCGCGAATGCAGCCATCATTGTTTCTTTCACATCTATGCCACGGGTTCTGTCTTTTAATGGCACAATATCAAGGAGTTCTTCTTTGATCACACAATCGTTTGACACAGACCGTGCAAATATTGCCAACTGAGGCTTGTCTTGTATGTCACAACTCTCATCCAATGCAACACTAAAATACGCACATTCTTGAAGGTCAGAGTACAACTGTGTTTCAATAGCCGCGTTAATGTCCGATATTCTGCGTTCAACAGTGTGGCGGGACAGTTGAACGTCTGATATCATTAGTTTTAATTTGTCATTTTCAGGAGACAATATTTCAACAGCGTCGCTGAGGCATTTTTTGACAAACTCCCCTTCATTGTATGGCTTTTTAGCCTGTGCAATGTTCAAAGCCAGTTGGTAAGACGCCAGCGTTACGGTCTCAGAGTGCTTCGTAAATTTTTTGAAAAACTGTGTCTGCTTTTCTGCCTGACTTTTCAACGTTACCAACTTGCTTTTGCGAAGTTCAGTCCCTTTTGGATATTCCTGTTCGAAGTTTGCGTGGAGTGAGCTGAAGTGCCGTTGAAGATTAGATGCTTTAAAATGCGCTAACGACGCCTGACATATCAGGCAGAATGGCTTGTCATTACGTTCGATAAAAAAATATGAACTCTCCCACTCTGTTAAAAATGTCCGGTGTTCATCTACATACGTTCGTTTTGCGGTGCTTTTTTTCCCTGCCATTTTGAGAGCACACAAAATTATTCGTAAGATATATGTTCATCTCACGCAAATGCGCGTTTGACGTCACTCAAACCCGCTTCCTGGTCAGGTTGCCATATAGGGAATGAATGATCAGCGCCAGCGCCGAGCATTTTTGACGCCTGTCATGTGAGCCCCTCAAGAGCCGCATGAAATCAGCCAAAGAGCCGCATGAGGCTCGCGAGCCTCTGGTTGGCCACGTATGCCCTACTGCCTACGTCCGGGGGGTCATTGAAGGGGTGGAAGCGTCAGTGTTGGTTGACTCTGGGGCTTCTGTGTCTTTAATTAGTTCCGATTTCCGTATGGCGGTTCCCACACTGCGCGGACGGCCATTGAAGAAGGACTTTATTGGCTCACGGGCAGTAAATGGACAGACACTAGACACACTGGGCACTATAGACGTGTCTCTTCACTTGGGCCGGGCCTCTTGGCGGCACACTTTTCATGTGCTGAGGGAGTCTACTCAGGCGGTCCTATTGGGGTTGGACTTTCTGGCAGTGAACAGGGCGTTGCTCGACCTGGGGTGGGGGGTTTTGGAGATCGGTGATACGTGCCTCCCCTTGCTTTACCAGGCTCAGCTTGTCCCTGAGTGCTGCAATGTATCTCTGGCCGATGATGTGATTATACCTCCCTTAAGTGAGGCTTTGGTGCCAGTGCATGTGCGTCCACCGGGTGGTGCTAACAGGCCAGTAACTGACTTTGAGGGCTACTTGGAACCAAATGTCCCAGATTCGGCTGGTTTAGTCGTAGCTCATACCGTGGCTAATGTGAAGAATGGGGTTACTGTTGCGTTTGTTCTCAATCCCTCTGGGAAAGCAGTGGAGCTCAAGCAAGGGCTGCACATAGGGGAATTTTATCCTATTCACGAGGTTGGTGCACCATCGGTGGTGCCCACTTCACATAAATCTTCTGTCCCGTGTATGGTCACAGACTCTCCAGTCAACGAGCGACAGAGGGCTGAATTACAGGAGCTTTTGAGTCGTTTTAGTAACGTGTTTAGTACCCCAGATGTGAACACTGGGAAGTGCTCTTTAATCCAACACCACATTCGCACTGGTGATAACCCCCCAATTAAGCAGCGGGCATATCGGACGTGTCCTGAGAAAAGGGCAGAGATTGAGCGTCAGGTGGGTCAGCTACTGGCAGATGGCCTGGTGGAGGAGAGCTTCAGTCCCTGGGCCTCACCAGTCGTGCTCGTCAAGAAAAAAGGGGGTCAGTGGAGGTTCTGTATCGATTACCGCCGTCTTAATGCGGTTACAATTAAAGATTCGCACCCGCTGCCGCGTGTGGACGACAGCTTGGATGCGCTGGCCGGGTCAATGTGGTTCAGCACATTGGACTTTTCGAACGGATACTGGCAGGTGGAAGTTGCCGAGGAGGATCGTGAAAAGACCGCCTTCACGACCGGTAGGGGAATATACCAGTGGCGGGCCATGCCAATGGGCCTGTCCAATTCGCCTGCCACCTTCCAGCGTATGATGGAGCTAGTCCTGCATGGTCTCCCCTGGCACACCTGCCTCGTATATCTGGACGACATTTTGATTTTCAGTCGAACATTTGAGGACCATCTTGGCCATTTGGGGGAGGTGCTGACAAGGATAGATTCGGCCGGACTGAGATTGAACAGCAGCAAATGTCATTTTGCAAAGGACCATGTAGTGTTTTTGGGACATGTGGTGTCTAGAGATGGTCTCCGCCCGGACCCTCGGAACACTGATAAAGTGAGGTCATGGCCGACACCGACCTCTGCTGCTGAGGTCCGTGCTTTTGTGGGCCTGTGCTCCTATTATAGACGTTTTGTGCAGAACTTTTCCCAGCATACGGCTCCACTCAATCATCTGGTCAGTAAAAATGTCCCTTTTAAATGGACGTCAGAGTGTGAGGCAGCATTCACCTTTTTGAAACATCGTCTGACCTCCTCCCCTGTAGTGGTCTCACCAGACTTTTCTCGCCCCTTTACAGTTTACACCAATGCGTCAAAGGACGCTGTTGGGGCGGTACTGGCGCAGGAGAATGACGGTTTGGAACATGTAGTGGCCTACGCCAGTCAAGCCCTCACTCACACCCAGAAACGCTGGTCCACCTTTGACCGTGCACTGTGGGCGGTTGTCTGGGCTGTGCACGAGTTTAAACATTATGTGGGGCTGTCAGCATTCACTATTGTTACTGACCATCGTCCTCTACTAGGCCTTCGTGGCATGTCCATTGACAATGACCCTACTGGTAAACGGGGGCGGTGGATCCTGGAGTTGGATCCCTTTAATTGGGCCATCATCCACAAGGACGGATCACGGCATTTGAATGCGGATGCGTTGTCCCGCCGCCTGCTGAGGCCACAGCTCCTGCCATTGACTGTGTGAATGTGATTGATGTTGGGGGGCGAATAGTCATGACCAGGCTAGGGAGTTGTTACCCTCCTCTCCAGTGTACTCTCTCTGCTGTGATGAGGCCAGGTTGCGGTCCCTGCAGCAGGATGACCCAGACATCAGGGTAGTGCTCGGGTGGTTAGAGAGGGGAGTAGATAGGCCACCTCGTTGGGAAGTTAAGGGGTCTTCTCTCTGTCTCCGGAAATTGTGGGCTGAATTTGGTCGCTTCTCTATCAATGAGGGACTGCTGTGTAGGACAGATAGCCCCACAGTCTCCGGCCTGGAGCGGTTGCAGGTTGTCATCCCGTCCTCTCTGGTCCCTGATCTACTCCAGCATCTTCACGGGGGGCCGGCTGCTGTGCACTTCTCTGTGGATCGGGTCTGGGAGAAGGCGAGGCAGTCTTGCTACTGGCCTTTTATGCTTAGAGACATAAGACAGTGGTGTGAGCAGTGTAGGGCTTGTCAGACTCCCAGGTCGCCTATTCCTAAGCCTAGGGCGCCCATGGGGATTATGCAGGTGTGTCGTCCTCTGCAGCGTGTGGCGGCTGACATTTTAGAGCTACCTGTAACCTCTCGGGGAAATAGGTATGTTTTAGTTGTAGAGGACTACTTTACAAAGTACAGTATGTTGATCTGTATGCTTTGCCTAATCAGACAGCTAACACTGTTGCTGTGTTTGTTTAATGACTATGTGTTAGTACATGGGGTTCCTGAGATGCTTCACACTGACCAGGGTCGCCAGTTTGAGGCTGAGGTCATCCAGACTCTGTGTAAACTACTGTGTATTAAGAAGACTCACACGACTGCGTACAACCCAAAGTCGGATGGCATGGTGGAGCGCCATAACAGGACATTGATTGACCAACTTGCTAAGATGTTACTGTCTCAAGGGGGTGAATGGGATGGATTTACAAAGCAGGTTGCTTTTGCGTATAACACTTCACCCCATGCTAGCACTAAGTTTTCTCCCTTTTATCTGATGCATGGCCGCGAGGCCCGGGTCCCAGCAGATGTTCTTATATCTAACCCTGTGTTCAACTCTGTGGGGGCGGGATCTGTGTCTGACTATGGAGATATGTTAGTTAAAAGGTTGGAGTTTGCATTTGGTGCGGCCAGGCTTCATGCGTTGGAGGCCTCTGAGAGACAAAAACGTTACCATGACCAGACAGTGTGTCATCGGCCGTACGGTGTTGGAGCGTTGGTGTGGCTGAACAATCCGACGGAGAGCCGCACTAAATTAGCGCCGCATTGGAGGGGCCCGTACCAGGTGGTGCAGGTATTCTCGTCAGGGGGTGAACCGGCACTGACCTATGACATCATTAATCCGCTGGATACTCAGGAGCGGAGTCAGGTGGTTCATCATGACAGACTCAAACCATACACTCTGCCGCTCCCTGCTCGGCCCCCTGCTAGTCGGGTTGTCGCATCGGACCCTTTCTTGCATGGGGGGGAGGCAAGTTTGGAGCCAGCGCTGGCCCAGCCGCAGCAGTCTTGGTCGGGACGTCTTGTTAAAGCCCCTTCACACCTCAAGGACTTTGTAGTTTGAGTTGGGCAGAGTCATTGTTCTTTGTTGTGTGTTTTTTTGTTTTAGTTTATTATGGCCCTGGTTTGAGGCAGGTTCTGAGTTATTTTATGAACCGAGGACGTTTCTTATGAAGGGGGGGACATATGTAACATACTGTTTAGGTGTGTGAATTCTTGTTGTTTTATAGATATTTTCTGCAGTAATGAAGCAGTCGACTGTATTTCTCACTTTAACAAATGAAAAACGCGTCACTGACCTCTCACCGGCGAATCATCTCCGTCTCTGAGGTGCACTCAGGGCCGGCCCAGGGC